ATTTTTTTTTATTTAATATATTTCATAATATATTTATTAAGAAAAGTTATTAATTTTGAATTTAAATTAAAACTAAGAAAATTTAATATTACAAATTTTAATAATTAAATTAGCGAATATTAATTTGTGGTTAAATTAAAAATTATATCAATTATTTTTACTAATATAATAATATAACACTGTAATTTTTTTTCTTGCAATAGAGTTCTTTTTCCTTGTAGTAAATATATAATAATGCGATTGTGTTTCAAACAAATCTAAAAATCAGTATGTCGGCCACATTTCTTGGGTGCCAATCGGTTTTTTCCAAGGAATGAAAAGGTAGCGCTTTTAGAATTAGTGTGACGTTGGAGGTCAAAAATTATCACTCGGGAAATGCTTTTAGACTTCCGTAGCATGGACTTACATGGCTAGCTCTATCGTGGCCCGTGGTAGAAGTTATTCGCTAGAATAAAATTTCCATCTACTTTTAGTAACGTGTACGTCGGTATTTGCTTAAGCGCTATCAGATTTTGTATATAATGGTGAGGCTAGTTTGCATGCTTAAACCACACCCACCTCTTTCTCTGTTTTGCGCAAATACAAATGATGGCAGCTCTGAATTTTCAATTCTTGGCTGTTGTGTCACTCTTTCTCATCATTCCCATTTGCTTAAACCACCTAGCCCTTGGCTTTCAAACTCCTCTGGCAACTGCCTTACCCACTCAAAATGAAACTGACAAGTTGGCATTGTTAGCCTTCAAGGATAAAATACTTGAAGATCCATTTGGGTTCATGAGTTCTTGGAATGAGTCTCTCCATTTCTGCAATTGGAGGGGTGTTTCATGTAGCTATCAACACGAGGGCAAAGTTACCAACTTGAATTTAGCTGGCCAAAAGTTGGTTGGTTCGATACCGCCCTACATTGGAAACCTATCATTCCTAAGGCAAATCAACCTCAGTCACAACTACTTCCAAGGGGAGATTCCTCAAGAGATTGGTCATTTGTTCCGGTTGAGACTTCTCAATCTTAGTTCCAATGTTCTTCAAGGCAAAATTCCAAGCAGTTTGGCATTTTGCTTAAGATTACAAGACATCGATTTCAGCGAGAATAGCCTTATTGGCGAAATTCCTGTTGAACTTCGAAATCTTTCAAAAAGTGTACGCATTATCTCCTTCTTTGCAAATCAATTAATTGGAAGTATCCCACAATGGCTTGGGAATGCCTCTTCACTTGAAGTATTGGCTTTGAGAAGCAATAATATACATGGAAGCATCCCAACGGAGCTTGGAAGACTTCCAAAGTTGGATATTCTGATGCTATCTGCAAATAACTCATCGGGGAAGGTACCTGTTTCTATTTTCAATATTTCATCACTCTCTATGCTTTCCTTGGCAGAAAACCAATTGCAAGGTACAATCCCGTCTAATATTTTCATTACACTTCCTAATCTTTGGCTTGCTTTTGCTTGCTATAATTTTTTTCATGGGGAGTTACCAATTTCATTACAGAATGCATCTATGCTAAAAATATTCTCTTTTGGAAATAACAATTTGAGTGGAGTCATACCTTCCAACCTTGGAAGCTTAAAGAATCTTGTAGGTTTAACACTTACTCGAAATCATTTGGAAAGTGAAGGTTTAGGTATCCTGACATCTTTAGCCAATTGTACCAACCTCCGAGTTTTGGATATAGGAGACAACCATTTGAAAGGTGAATTGCCTCTTTCAATTGCTAATCTTTCAACTAACCTTGGGTACTTGTCCATAACAAAAAATCAGATTTCAGGTAAAATCCCTGAGGGGATTGACAACCTAGTTGGTTTAACCTTTTTGCATTTGCTCCAGAACCATCTTACAGGTGAAGTTCCTTCTGGTATTGGCAAATTAAAAAGGTTATCTTTTCTTTCTCTAGGTGAGAATAGAATTTCTGGACCAATCCCATCATCACTTGGAAATATCACCCAATTGCTTGTATTAGATCTGGCAAGAAACAATTTAAGTGGTACAATTCCTCTTACCTTGGGAAATTGTTCTCAACTTGAAAAACTTTACCTTGATGAAAATTATCTTATTGGAGATGTACCAAAACAACTCTTGAGCTTATCTCCCTTCATAATCCTTTATTTAGGGAAGAATTTTTTTATAGGACAGCTACCATTAGAGGTGGGGAACATGACCAACCTTGTGGAATTTGATGTTTCCAACAATAAATTCTCAGGAAAAATTCCAAGCACTTTAGGAAATTGTTTGATGTTGGAGGTTCTTAAAATGCAAGAAAACGTATTAGAAGGAGATATCCCATTCTCACTAAGTTCTTTGAAAAGCCTTGAAGATCTTGATCTTTCAAGAAACAATCTCTCTGGCCAAATTCCCAAATTCTTCCAAAATTTCACTTTCTTGCAAAATCTGAACTTGTCCTTCAATGGACTGGAAGGAGAAGTACCGCAGCAAGGGGTATTTAAAAATGCTAGTGTAATTTGTATTGTTGGAAATCAGAAATTATGTGGAGGTATTCAGAAATTAGGACTCCCTTCGTGCAAGGCCCAAGGCTTGAAAAAGAAAGTGTTGTCTAAGACTTTCAAAATAGTGATCCCAATAATTGTCTTTAGCTCTAGCATTGTAATAGCCTTTCTCTTTTTCTGTTGTTGGAAGAGGAGATATAAAATGAGAGCTTCTACCATGATGCTAAAGCTTGAACAATTTCCAAAGATATCATATGCAGAGTTGAGTCAAGCAACCAATGAGTTTTCACCATCTAATTTGATTGGTGAGGGAAGTTTTGGCTCTGTGTACAATGGAATGTTGGGGGAAGATCAAATGCAAGTAGCAGTAAAGGTGTTGAACCTTAAGAAGAAAGGAGCTTCCGAGAGTTTTATAGCTGAGTGTGAAGTATTGAGAAATATTCGCCATCGAAATTTAGTCCAGATTATAACTGTTTGCTCAAGTATTGACTTCAAACAGACTGATTTCAAGGCTTTAGTTTACAAACTCATGAAAAATGGAAGCTTAGAGGAGTGGTTGCATCCAAACGAAGGCCAAGCTGGTGAGCATACTTTAAACCTCATTCAAAGAATTAATATAGCCATTGAAGTGGCTTTTGCAATTGAATATCTTCATGACCACTGCCAACCATCAATCATTCATGGAGACCTTAAGCCAAGCAATGTTCTGCTTGATGAGAACCTTGTTGCTCATGTGGGGGATTTTGGTCTTGCAAGATCTCTATCCATTTCTTGTCAACAAAGTAGTTCCATTGGTGTAAAAGGAACAATTGGCTACATAGCCCCAGGTAATTGTTTTAATTATATTTGTTTCTTTAAATCTTTCCAATTTTTTCTTTGCGCTAGCATTTATAGTTAACATGATAAATCAAAGATATCCCACAACTTTCCCTTCCTAATGCAGAATACAGCTTGAGCAACAGGACATCCAAACTTGGAGATGTATACAGCTTTGGAATTCTCTTGTTAGAGATGATTACAGGAAAACGACCAATAGATTCATTATTTCAAGACAATTTCACCATTCACCAGTTTGTTAAAACAGCATTATTGCCTCAAAGAGTGATGGATATTTTAGAGCCTTTACTACTGCAGGAGGTTCAAGATGATGCACATTTAGGAGCAAGGAATTGGGGAACGAAAGTTGGTATTTTGGAGAGCTTGGTTGCAGTGGCAAAGGTAGGAGTCCTCTGCTCAATGGCATCACCAAATGAAAGAATGGAGATGAAAGATGTCATTGCAGAATTGTGTGCAATTAAAGACAAGTTCGTTGTCGTAGAATCTATTTCCCATAAGTTGGTTCCATAAATAATTCTACATAAAGTTTGACTTAATTGCTCAAGCATTCTAGTTCGTTGATACTCTATTTACTTCTAGTGTTTTGTGTTTATTTTTTTTCGCCAAACTTGTACTTACTTTTGATTTTAGACCAAGTTATATGAAATAAGTATAGAATATGATGTCCTTTTGACTAAAAGTATTTCCGCCATCGATAGTTGCAATTTATCACTAGCCAATGGAAAAAAAAAAAAAAAATTGAGCAATTAAAAATATCTTTCATCTAAATTTATATTTAAAATGTCGTGTAAAGTATAATTTATAAT